CAATGGACAGAGAAGCGGAGAAGGAAATCAGAGATACATCACCCTTTACTATAGCCACAAATGACATAAAATACCTTGGGGTAACACTAACCAAGCAAATGAAGGACCTATATGACAAGAACTTTAAGTCCCTGGAAAAAGAAATTGAAGAAGATGTCAGAAAATGGAAAGATCTCCCATGCTCATGGATAGGCAGGACTAACGTAGTAAAAATGGCAATCTTACCAAAAGCAATCTACAGATTCAATGCAATCCCCATCAAAATACCAACACAATTCTTCACAGACCTGGAAAGAATAATACTCAACTTCATATGGAAAAACAAAAAACCCAGGATAGCCAAAGGAATCCTATACAATAACACAACCTCTGGAGGCATCACGATCCCTGACTTCAAGCTCTACTATAGAGCTACAGTAATAAAAACAACTTGGTACTGGCATAAAAACCGACATGTGGACCAATGGAATCGAATTGAAGACCCTGACATTAATCTGCACACCTATGAACATATAATTTTTGACAAAATAGCCAAAAGTGCACAATGCAAAAAAGAAAGCATCTTCAACAAATGGTGCTGGCAAAACTGGATATCAACATGTAGAAGGTTGCAAATAGATCCATATCTATCACCGTGCACAAAACTTAAGTCCAAGTGGATCAAGGACCTCAACATAAATCCAGCTACTCTGAACCTGCTAGAAGAGAAAGTAGGAAGTAGTCTTGAACACATTGGCATAGGAGACCACTTCCTAAATAGAACACCAGTAGCACAGACTCTGAGAGAAACAATCAATCAATGGGACCTCTTGAAACTGAGAAGCTTTTGTAGAGCAAAGGATACGGTCAACAAGGCAAAGCGACAGCCTACAGAATGGGAAAAGATCTTCACCAACCCCACATCTGACAGAAGACTGATATCCAGAATATATATGGAACTCAATAAATTAGACATCAAAATGCCCAACAGTCCAATTAAGAAATGGGCTATAGAACTAAACAGAGAATTCTCAACAGAGGAAACTCAAATGGCCGAAAGACATTTAAGGAACTGCTCAACATCTCTAATCATCAGGGAAATGCAAATCAAAACAACTCTGAGATACCACCTTACGCCTGTCAGAATGGCTAAGATCAAAAACACTGAAGACACCTTATGCTGGAGAGGATGTGGAGCTAGGGGAACTCTCCTCCACTGCTGGTGGGAATGCAAGCTTGTACAACCACTTTGGAAATCAATATGGCGCTTTCTTAGAAAATTGGGAATCAATCTCCCCCAAGATCCAGCTATACCACTCTTGGGCATATACCCAAGGAATGCTCAACCACACCATAAGAGCACTTGTTCAGTTATGTTCATATCAGCATTGTTTGTAATAGCCAGAACTTGGAAACAGCCTAGATACCCTACAACTGAAGAATGGATAAACAAAATGTGGTACATATACACAGTGGAATACTACTCAGCAGAGAAAAACAATGACATCATGAGGTTTGCATACAAATGAATGGATCTAGAAAAAATCATCCTGAGTGAGGTAACCCAGACTCAGAAAGACAAACATGGTATGTACTCACTCATAGCAGGATACTAGATGTGGAACAAGGGTGACTTGTCTGCTACTCATATCACCAGGGAGGCTACCTGGAAAACAGGACCCCAAGAAAGACACAGGGATCGCCCAATGACAGAGAAATGGAATGAGATCTACATGAACAGCCTGGACATGAGTGGGGGTAGTGAAAGGCGAGGGTCGAGGGAAAGAGAGCTTGGGGGAGCGGGAGATCCCAGCTGGATCAACAACAGAGAGGGAGAACAAGGAATAGGAGACCATGGTAAATGAAGACCACATGAGAATAGGAAGAAGCAAAGTGCTAGAGAGGCCCACAGAAATCCACAAAGATACCCACACAACAGACTGCCGGCAATGGTCGAGAGACAGCCCGAACTGACCTACTCTGGTGATGGGATGGCCAAACACCCTAATTGTCGTGCTAGAAACCTCATCCAACTACTGAGGGATCTGGATGCAGAGATCCATGATTAGGCCCTGGGTGGATCTCTGGGAGTCCAATTAGCGAGAATGAGGAGGGTTTATATGAGCGAGAATTGTGGAGACCAAGGTTGGATAAAGCACAGGGACAAATAGCCAAATGAATGGAAACACATGAACTATGAACCAATGGCTGAGGGGTCCCCACTGGATCAGGCCCTCTGAATGGGTGAGACAATTGATTGGCTTGATCTGTTTGGGAGGCATCCAGGCAGTGGGACCGGGTCCTGTGCTCATTGCATGAGTTGGCTGTTTGAATCCTGGGGCCTATGCAGGATTGTTTGGCTCAGCCTGGGAGGAGGGGACTGGACCTACCTGAACTGAGTCTACCAGGTTGATCTCAGTCTGTGGGGAAGGCTTTGCCCTGGAGGAGGTGGGAATGGGGGGTGGGCTGGGGGGAAGGTGAGGGGGGCGGGAGGGGGGAGAACAAGGGAATCCGTGGCTGATATGTAGAACTGAATTGTATTACAAAATAAAAAAAAAAGAAATTACAAAAAAAAACAAAAAACAAAACCAAAAAAAAACAAAAAAAAATAAAAAGTAAAAATGAATAAATCTTTAAAAATAAGCAAAAAAATTTAAAATCAATGTCAAATCTTGTACAGAATTATTTTTAAACATTAATTTAAAGACTAAATCTCATATATCAAAAATAGCAGAAATTTATGATTAGATGATTGTGCTCAACATGTTATTATACATGTGTATTTAATGGGCACACTATATTATATGCTACAATGTGTAACAGGAATCTTAAAAGTTCTTATTAATTTCCCCTTTTTTGTCTAAAATTAAAAAAAGCTTATAACTAATACAAGAAAAATTATATCCAATAAGTATGTACAATATACACAGTCAAAAATTACGTTAACAATGTCTAGTCCATTAACATTTGACAGATTCAGCCAAAAAGTCCATTCATTATATATATTAACAATGTCTAGTCCAGTAACATTGATAAACTCAGACAAAAAATTTTCATTACTTATCTTATTTAAAACAAGTAATTCCTTTTTAAAAGTATTTTTTCTTTTCATAATAAATTCAGTAATCTACCTTTTGTCATTTTTATATCTTCCCCTTTTTCTTTCTAGTGTAGATTCAGTGATCTACCCATTTATCCTATTTTTCTCTTTTTTCTTTTTTAAACAAAAACTCTGAATCTTGTTCAGCTTTTTTCCTGACCATTAACAATTAAAAAACCCGTTAACCAACCATCATAAACAATGACAATATCCATAACTCATTAAACGACCAAAAAAACCTCCCATCCCACCTCTTGGGAATGTGGGTGTCATTTTCTTAAAATTACTTCCTCTTTCTAGGGGTGAAGACATCTTTAGGGGATCCTGAAACGAAAATTTTTGGGTTAATTGTCAAGTCCTGTATCATTTGTCCAGTCTCTGCATAATAGGAAAGTTCAGGGCTTGTCACAAGTCCTTGTTCAAGTAGTCTGTCAGGCTGGATCATCTCAGCTAGTCATCTTGAAATTGTCCTGACCAGTTTGTAGTCAAAAGTCAATCTTTCCGTGGTGTTAATCAGCTTAATGGTGTTATCATAGTCCATGTGGAATCATCTTTTATAGGATCCTGTCATCTTTTTGAAGATTTCAAAGTCACTGTTAGGCGTGGTCATGGTTCCCTGAAGACTTTTGTGTGTGTGTGTGAGTGTGTGTGTGGTTTGGAGTAATCACAGTCTGATAAATGTCTGTCTCTCGGAACCATGAGTATTCTTCCCTAGAAGAGCAAATCTTCACAGCAATTTCTCCCCATCATTTGTCTTGCCAAACTTTTCCAAACTGACCTTTGCCGATGCTTTCTTGTAACACGATGGTCCTGGCAATTGTTCTCTGAACAAGCAGCGGTAAACTATTTGTCCCAGGTAGCAGCATCAACGCAGTCACCAACACGATGAGAAGGAGCCGGCAACTCAGAGCAGCAGCCGCTGCCTCCGTGGTCCCACCACCACTGTTTGTGGCCAGGTCCCGGGCAGAAACTTCTCCTTAGCAAGCCTCCTAGGCCCCCCTCAAACTCGGGATCCTCCTGCCTCTGCCTCCTTCAGTAAATCCTACCAGCGTGCGCCACCACAACCCGCCGAGTGTAGCTCAGGTCTGAGCAGGGGCCCACAAGGCCACAGGCAAACAGCTTTTTCATGAATTTGTACCACGAACGTGGGGCGCCAGGTGTAACAGGAATCTTAAAAGTTCTTATTAATAAAAACAAATCCAGGCCGGGCGGTGGTGGCGCACGCCTTTAATCCCAGCACTCGGGAGGCAGAGCCAGGCGGATCTCTGTGAGTTCGAGGCCAGCCTGGGCTACCAAGTGAGTTCCAGGAGAGGCGCAAAGCTACACAGAGAAACCCTGTCTCGAAAAACCAAAAAAAAAAAAAAAAAAAAAAAAACAAATCCAGGCCAGGTATTGGGGTGAAATGCTGGATGGTCAGAGAGACAGAACAAGCCACAGCTAACCTCACGGGCCAACTTCTCAGCTGATCTTGTTTCCTCAGACTGGAAGCCTCTGTGTCCTCATATCCGAATGGTTCTCAGCTGAACTGTGCTGCTCAAAACCTAAAACCTTAACCAGCCAAATGCTTCTAGTTTCTGGTCCTCACGCCTTGTATACCTTTCTGCTTTCTACCACCACTCCCTGGGATTAAAGGCTCGCTTTCTGGGATTAAAGGCGTGTGTCACCATGCCTGGCCATTTCCAATGTGGCCTTGAACTCACAGATATCCAGAGGGATTTCTACCTCTGGAATGCTAGGATTAAAGGTGTGAGTGCCACCATTTTCTAGCCTTTGTATCTAGTGTCTGTTCTGTCTGACCCAGAAAAGTTTATTAGGTGCACAATATTTTGGGGAACACAATACCACCACAACAATGTCCTCTGTCTTTTAACTATTCTACTGTGTTGATAATGTTGTCTTGAACAGGATTATGTTGTTATAGGTCCCAGTATCATTTGAAGATGTGGCAGTAGATTTCAGTAGAGAGGAATGGCAGCAATTGGACTCTTCTCAAAGATGCCTATACCAGGATGTAATGCTGGAGAACTACAGCCACCTGCTCTCAGTGGGTAAGCCCAGCTGTCCTATTGTATTTTGAGAAGCTTGCTGTGGGTTAAATTGTCTCCAGAGGAAATAATTGCAGAAGAGAGGGAAGAAAGAGTGTAAGAGTCTGAGGTGATAGATTACTACATGAAAGCAGAATTTTCTGGATTCAGCAGGGAAATTGCACATATGAACTCATGGTGATTGTGACATCATGCACAAGACCTTTGAAAGTTCAAGTCCTACAAAGTCTCAGCATGGAGAAGGGGGAGTGGTCATGAAGTCATACCCTTAGCTGAGGTTCTTTTGGTAATTGATAGCTGCTTGGAGAAGGAGAGTCAGTTTTCTTAAAGTGTGTGGTCCCTGGTAGGTAGATCAAGTTCCAGTGGAAAGCTACCTACCTTAGAGTATATGGGTGGCCCAAACTGAACTACATATTTTTTAAGAAGAGAACACAAAGTTGGGTGTACAAAGATGGCAAGGGGAGAAGTCTGGTAGAAGTTGGGGTAGGGGAGTGAATATAACCATAAATATATTATGCTAAATTCTAAAAGAATTAATCTTTGAAAAGAAAAGAAAGACTTAAAAGTAATGAAAAAGAAAATATATTAAAGTCCTAACCCTCAGTATCTCAGAATACAACCATATTTGGAATTAAATTCTTTATGGAAGTAATTAAGCTAGAATATGGTAATTAAGGTGGCTCTTAATCTGACATAACTTGTCTTTAAATTATTTATTTGTTATTACTCTGTGTATGTGCATGATCAGTGTGGGGCACACATGCAACAATGTGTTTGTGGAGGTCACATAACAACTTCATTGGACTGATTCTTTCCTTCCACCTTTATGTGGGTTCTGGGAATTGAACTCAGGTCACCAGGCTCAGGAGGCAAGTGCCTTTAACAGTTGAAGCATCTTGTACATCCTGAATCTCTGTTTTCTTCATTAAAAAAATGGAAATTTGGATGCACTGATACTATTTACACAGTGGGAGGAAACTGTGAAGACATGAGAAGATGGCTTGGAATTGGAAGGAAACATTAAAATTTTTTTATAATTTATTTTTATTTTATGTGCATTGTTTCTATGTCTTTGTGAAAGTGTCAGATCTTGAAGTTGCAGACAGTTGTTAGCTGCTATGTAAGTACTGGGAATTGAACTCGGGTCCTCTGCAAGAGCAGTAAGTGCTCTCAATCACTGAGCCATCTCTCCAGCCCTGGAAGGATAAATTTTTAAGCCAAGAAGTATCTGAGGCCATCAGAAGCTTAGGGAGAAACATTCTTCATTGCCTTATCTAGCCCCTTTAATGAGCATGGGCCTGCATATGACACCTTAATTTTGGACTTCAAATCTCCAGAACTGTAAGATAATAAATATTCTGAACCTTCTAGCTTGTGATGCTTTGTTACAGAAACCCCAGGAAATTAATACAGTTTTTCTTATTTGGAAATAGAGCACTACTTTTAAAAGTCCCTAGCATGAAAGGGTGGCTGGTGTGAGGGTGCAGCAGGTATTTGTGCTTCCCGTGTAAGTCTGATAACCTGAGCTTAATCTCTGGATCCCGTGGTTGATAGAGGACTGATTCCTGGATGTTGTCCTCTGATCTCTATACATATGCTGTGGCATACATAGACTCTGTCTCTCTGTCTGTCTCTCTATCTCTCCCTCTCTCTGTCTGTCTCTGTCTCTGTCTGTCTCTCTCTCTCACACACACACACTAGAATATAAAAGGGATTTTGGATAGTTATAATGGGTTGAGGGTGGAAAGATTTTAAGATACTTGACATAAAAAGCATAGTTTTAGAGGTGTGGTGGCACATGCCTTTAATTGCAGCACTGGGGAGACCGAAGCAAGTGGATGGATCTCTGGAAGTTTGTGGTGAGCCTGGTCTACATGGCCAAGTTCCATGCTCAAAAAGAAGCATAGGTTTATTTGAAGAACCTGTTGGTAGGAATGTTATAGGTGAAGTGTCAGAATATGGAGCATGTTAATACAAATGGGAGGAAAGCAAATCCTTGTTGTAAAGTCACAAAGATCATGGTGAGCTTATATTCTTTCAGCTTAAAAGTGGTACTTATAAGTAATGAACTTTAATATTTATTTGGGGAATTTCTAAACATTGTGGAAAGCACAGCATGATTTATCCTTGCTGCTTATCATATAATGTGAGAGGAAAGAAGTACATCTTTTTTTTTTTTTTTTTTTTTTTGGTTTTTCGAGACAGGGTTTCTCTGTGTAGCTTTGCGCCTTTCCTGGAACTCACTTGGTAGCCCAGGTTGGCCTCGAACTCACAGAGATCCGCCTGGCTCTGCCTCCCGAGTGCTGGGATTAAAGGTGTGCGCCACCACCGCCCGGCAGAAGTACATCTTAAAAGGAATTCTTAGAGGAAAAAAGTATAATTTGAGGATTCTGAAAATGTTCATTATCTTAGTTACTTTTCAATCACTGTGATAAGACCAACGTAACTTATAGAGGAAAAAGTTTATTGGGGGGTTACAATTTCAGAGGGTGAATCCATGACTATCATGGTGGGGATCAATAGGCAGGCAGGCATGGTACTGGAGCCGTAGTTGAGATCTCACATTTCGAGGCAACAGCCACAAGGCAGAGAAAGACACTTGGAAAAGAGCCAATCTTTTGAAACCTTAGAGCCCATTCCCAGTGATACACTTCCTAATCCTTCCCAAACAGTCTCACCAACTAGAGACTAAGTACTCAAACATATGAGCCTCTGGAGACCATTCTCATTCAAACCACCAGATGCAGCCTATCTATATTGCAAAAATTGAGAAAATATACTGTGGTAAGAACATATTACTCAAGAGATTTGGTGTTTGACTTTTGGATATAGTCAACTATTTCAGTAGAGACATTGACAGCTTGAGCTGAAGGGGACAGAGATGGGAGAAAATGAATCAAGGTCTTCTGGGGTTCCATGGGCAGGAAGGAGTGTTATGCTATTTGGATGTGAGTATGTGTTATCCTTAAAGAAAAGAGAATGACATTTTGAATGGTTCAGAAGTCAGCAGGAGTAAAGCTGCTACCATAAACCCTGAGGGCACAGGTTATGGAAACCACCTTGTTTGTTTCAGAGGGAAGGGCCACTCTTTGTTTGCAGGGCCAAGAGGTTAGGGCTACCACTGAAAGCAAAGTGTGTGAGAATGCCATTTCTAAATTGAAGTTGTTCTCTTAACAGTTTTGCATGCTCTTGAATTATCTCTTTACCATCCCCTTATGGTACTTGGATATCAATTTTGTGATAATATTTAGCCTTAGATAGAGTTTACCATTAGCTTTGGACTGTATTTTTAAAAATAATTTATTTATTTTATGTACATTTTTTTGCCTGCTTGTATGTCTATGTGAGGGTGTCAGATGTCCTGGAACAGGAGCTACAGACAGTTGTGAGCTGTCATGTGGGTGCTGGGAATTGAACCTGGGTCCTCTAGAAGAGCAGCCAGTGCTTTTAACCTTTGAGCCATCTCTCATTTTCAAGCAACACAACTTCACTAAGACCCAAGTTCAGTATTCTAGTAGTTGCTGTGGCCTGAGTCAAAGGGACTTGCGTGCCCTAGAGGTGGCACCAGGAGTGGTACTTTTGTATGCCATATTTCCAGCGCCCCACTTAAGGACAAGGATTCAGCACCGAGGACAAGGATTCAGCACCGGGTTATTCTGTGTTTAGTTGCCATATTGAGGAAATTCTTACTAAATGTCTTTTTTTCTACTCTCAATATTCATATTCATGATATTTAATCTTCATTGTCCACTTGACTGGATGGATTTAGACTCAACCAAAAGATTGGTGAAATACATCTATCTCTGGGTGTGTCTGTGAGGGCCTTTCCAAAGAGTTAAATTAAGTAAGATAGGAAGACCCACCCTGAGTATGGGTTGGTACTATCTGTTGGGCTGGAAGTTCCAGTTAAATAAAGGGGCAGAGGAGCCAGTAGAACTCTGACATTTCCTTTTCCCTGCTTCCTGAGCTGACTTGCTCTCCAGTCCTTCTCTGCTGTAATATACTGAACCGTTTGAAATTAAGCACCCAATTAAATCCTTCCTTCACTTAAGTTGTTCTGTTGAGTATTTTGTCACAACAACAAGAAAATTTAACCAACAGCAAATTCAGGCCCAATTGAAAGCTCAGAATTATCTCTCAAAAGGACAATAGTTAACCACAGTGGATGTCGGGCTTCACTCCAAAACTCTCAGTATTTTCAGTGGGACTGATCTATGGAGGCCTAGTAAGATTCCAAACAGCACCCCTATCTGCATTGAATTTGCTGGATCCTGTAGGGCAGAGCAGCCCTTCTAATATACTAAGGCTGCTCAGACCGGGTCAATATTATTATCCAGAGAGTGAATTGGTTATCACAGCAATGGGTTTGTTGTAAGTTTAGCCCCTATCTTACCTTTTGATTTTCTCTTTCGTGCATTCTCACTTCTGCTTCTGTCCTGATGTGATGCAGTGTGAATGCCCTTATCAGATGCCAGGGCCATGAGCTTGGACTTAACAGCCTCCTGAATTGTTACCTAAATACTTCTATTGTTTATAAATCATCAGACCCATGTTCCCAGTAAAAGGCATTTACTCTCTCAAAGAACAAATAGAAAGCATTGTCTAGATCCAGTTCTTTATCATATTCTTTGAACAGGTTTTAAAGTTCCCGAATTAGAGGTCATCTTCAAGTTGGAGCAAGGAGAAGAACCATGGATATTGGAGGAGGAAGCCCCACACAAGAGCTGTTCAGGTAAGTGAGTGTGACTTAGGCAGAGGACTGTGGAAGTTTTTTTTTTTCCCCTAAGAGAGGCTACTGTGTTGAAAATGCTATCATCACCCTCCTTTAAGGTTCTAAACTTCAGAAATTTGTTTTAGATAGTTTGGGAGTCTTAGGTACAAAATTTTCTTCTCCCATTATTTCAGATGCTGTTATAAACTGTTTTCTTTGCTTCTGGAAGAAATACCCTTCTGCCTCCATTTCCACACTTTGAACTTTATTTTTTTATGGATCTTGTTTCCTTGGATATTTTCTATCACATTTTAATGCTTCATTAATTAAACCACACCTCAGAATCTTAGATAAGAATCTAAGGACATTGCTTTGTTTGAAAATCAGTAGGATTGGCTTTCTTCTATTCTTAGAATCTGTTTACTGTAGCTAAAGTTTTCCTGCCTGGCCCACAGTCAGGACAAATCTCTCTCACCTGCCAGTCCCACAGCCGTCAGACCCAACCAAGTAAACACAGAGACTTACATTGGTTACAAACTGTATGGCCGTGGCAGGCTTCTTGTTAACTGTTCTTACAGCTTAAATTAATCCATTTCTATTAATCTATACCTTGCCACATGGCTCGTGGCTTACCGGCATCTTCACATGCTGTTTGTCATCATGGTGACTGGCAGTGTCTCTCTGACTCAGCCTTCCACTTCCCAGCTTTATTCTCCTCCTTGTCCCACCTATACTTCCTGCCTGGCCACCGGCCAAACAGTGATTTATTTATTGACCAATCAGTAACACACTTGACATACAGACCATCCCACAGCAGTTTACTTTCATGTTTTCATTTTATCTTCTCACTTTAAGGTGATAAACTGTCATCTACAACTGTCCCTGCTTCCTATTCTGTTTTGAAGTATCACCTTCAGATTGTTCATTCTTTTTCACATGACACATCCCTCTGTTTGATCTTCTAGCTATATGGTCATTGCTCTCTTCTAAAATTAATTTTATCAAAGTATAATTTATGCAGAATGAAATATATCCATTTTAAGCATACAGTATGATGCTTTTTACAAAGGTATGCAATAGTATTTTGATCACTAATCCTAGGTAATGCTCCATTTCAGAAAATCTTTCCATGTGCCCCTTAGAATCAGTATCTACCACCCCTTCAGCCCTGGGTAATCACTGTCATACTTTTCATCACTATAGATTAGATTTGTCTTTATTTTTTTTTTTTTTTGTTTTTGTTTTTTGTTTTTCGAGACAGGGTTTCTCTGTGTAGCTTTGCGCCTTTCCTGGAACTCACTTTGGAGACCAGGCTGGCCTCGAACTCACAGAGATCCGCCTGGCTCTGCCTCCCGAGTGCTGGGATTAAAGGCGTGCGCCACCACCGCCCGGCAGATTTGTCTTTATTAAGGGTTCATTTAAGGGAATCCTGCCATATGTACTCTTTGGGGGCTGGCTTCATTCATTCATTATAATTAGTTTGCAATTTTTCCCTGTTGTACATATTACTGGTTTAGTCATATTGATGTTGAATAACATTCCATGCTATGAATATATATGTTGAATATCCCTAAATTAAAGAATCTGAAATCCTAAAATGGCTGTAAAATTTGAAAACTTTTGAGCATCAAATTAATACTCAAAAAATTTCACCCTTTAGACTGTTCAATTTTTGAATTAGGGGTACTAAGCTAGCAAACTCTAGGCAAACATTGCAAAATCTGATTTTTTTCTGGATCAAATATTATAGTGAGGGATATTCACAACTTATTAATCTTACATGTCTTGATGGATGGGTAGTTAATATTTGATAATCATGAATGGAGGTACAATGAAAAAACATGCATCTTTGTGTGAATATATGTTTACATTTCCCTTGGGTAAATACCCAAGTTTGGAATTACTGCATCTTATGTTAAGTGTGTGCTTATCTATATAAAAATTGTCAGAATGTCTTCAAAATGTACCAGTTTGCATTCCCAAGAGAAATACTTAATTCCTGTTGCTCTGCATCATTGTTAATGTGTGCTGTCATCAGTCCCTTTACTTTTTTAAAAATTCATTTCTGATATTTTAGTTAGCATTCACAGTACTAGTTTTCATTACATCATTTTCAAATAAAATTTGCTTTTGTTGATTCTCCTGTCTTCCCATTCCTGACACCTACCTTTAAAAAAATCTTATACTTTTGAGATTATAATTGTATCACTTCTCCTTTATTATACTGTATATACTGTATGTGTGATGATAAATCACTATGATTTTAAGTTGAATTACTTTGATGAGAGTAAGGATGCTAAGCATCTTTTCACGTGTACATTCACTATTTACAGGCTTTTTGTGAAAAAATCTGTTCCTAGCTTTCTTACTTTTTTCAGGGAGGTGGGTATTCATCCTCTTCATGAAGTATTTTCTTTTTCTAGACAAGGTATCACTTTGTAGTACACACTGGCCTAACAGTTTCAGTCCTCCTTTCTCAGCTTTCTGAATGTTGGGATTATAGGTATACATATCTCTGTGCCAAACAGGTTTTTTCATATTCTTTTAATTGCAAATTGATTCTTTTCTCACACAATATCTCTTGATTTTACTTTCCCTTCCCTGCACTCCTCCCAGTTCCTGCCTACATTCCCTATCCTTCAGATCTATTCCCTTTCTGTCTCTCATTAGAAAAGAACAGGCTTCTAAGAGGTAACAACCTAACATGACAAAATAATATATAAGAAAATGAAAAAACCTATCATACTGAAGTTGGACACAGCAACCCAACATGAGAAATAGAGTCCCAAGAGCAGGCACAAAAGTCAGAGACCCATTTGTTTACACAGTCAAGAGTCCCATAAAAACACCAAACTAGTAGCTATAATATATATGCAGAGGGCCTTGTGTAACACATGTTGGGCCTGTGCTTGCTGCTTCAGTCTTTGTGAGCTCATGTGCATCTTGCTTAGTTGATTCAGCAGAGGGCCTTGTTCTCCTGGTGTCCTCCATCCCCTCTGACTTACAATCTTTCCACCTCCTCCTTCACAGGATTCACAGAGCACTGAGGGGAGGGATTTGATAGAGACCTCCCATGTAGACTCTCTTCATATAATGTCTGGCTGTGGGTCTCTGCATCTGTTCCCTTCTGGTGCTGGAGGATACCTCTCTGCCGATGACTGGATAAGGCACTGATCTATGAGTATAGCAGAATATCATTAGGAATCATTTTGTTGATTTTTTTTGGATCAGTTGTGTCTGATTTTACCCTAGGTCTTTGGGTTATCTAGTGTCTGGTTCTTGGTTACCCAAGCAGTGTTGGGTATGAGTTCCTTCTCCTGGAGTGGGCCTTAAGTCAAATCAGACCTTGGTTGGCTACTCCCACAACTTCTGTGCCACCATTGCTCTAGCATATTTTTTTTCTTTTTTTTTTTTTTCGAGACAGGATTTCTCTGTACAACTGCCCTAGCTGTCCTGGAACTAGCTCTGTAGACCAGGGTGGCCTTGAACTCACAGAGATCTGCCTGCCTCTGCCTCCCGAGTGCTGCCTGGTGACCTAGCATATTTTTCAGGAAAACTTTCAGCTACACCCCTCCTCTTTACCTAACCTCTCTGGGTCTATGGATTGTAGCTTGGTTATCATTAACTTACTGGCTAATATTCCCTTGTAAGTGAGTACATACCATATTTATCTTTCTGAGTCTGTGTTACCTCACTCAGGATGATTTTTTTTTCTAGTTCCATCTGTTTGCCTGCAAATTTCCTGATGTCATTGTTTTTAACATCTGAGTAATGCTCCAGTATGTAAATGTACCACATTTTCTCCATCCATTCTTTGGTTGAGGGATATCTAGGTAGTTTCCAGTTTCTAGATATTAGGAATAAAGCTGCTATGAGCATAGTTGAGCAAGTGTCTTTGTGATAGGAGGAAGTGTCCTTTGGGTATATGCCCAAAAGTAGTACAGCTGGGTCTTGAGGTACATTGATTCTCAATTTTCTGAGGAACCACCATATTGATTTCCATAGTGGCTGTACAATTTGCCACTTCCACCAGCAATGGAGAAGTGTTCCCCTTGTTCCACATCCTCTCCAGCATAAGTGTCACTTGCATTATTAATCTTAGCCATTCCGACAGGTATAAGAAGGAATCTCAAAGTAGTTTTGATTTGCATTTCCCTGATGGCTAAGGATGTTGAACATTTCTTTAAGTGTTTCTCAGCAAATTGAGATTCCTCTATTGAGAATTGTCTGTTTAGATCTGTACACCATTTTTAAAATTAGATTATTTGTTTTTGTGGTGACTGGTTTCTAGAGTTCTTTATATATTTTGGATATTAGTCTCTATCAAATGTGGAGGTGGTAAAAATCTTTTCCCATTTTTAGGCTGCCGCTTTGTCCAATTGATGGTGTCCTTTGCTTTAGAGAAGCTTTTCAGTCTCATGAGGTCCTGTTTATTAATTGTTGATTTTAGTACCTGCACTATTGTTGTTCTCTTCAGAAAGTTTTCTGTACCAATGTGTTCAAGGCTATTTCCCACTTTCTCTTCTATCAGGTTCAGTGTATCTGGTTTTATTTTGAGGTACCTATGGAGAAAATTATCCATTTCTTTTACATTTCCCAAATTGGTGGAGTACAGGTTTTAAAAGTATGTCTTTATGATTTTCTGTATTTCCTTGTTGTTTCTTGTTATCTCCCCCTTTCCATTTCTGATTTTGTTAATTTGTATATTCTGTCTTCATCTATTAGTTAGAATAAGGGTTTGTCTATCTTGCTGTTTTTCTTAAAGAACCAACTCTTTGTTTCACTGATTCTTTGTATTGTTCTCCTTGCTTCTGTTTTATTGATTTCAGGCCTGAATTGATTATTTCTTGCTGTCTGCTCCTCTTGGGTGTGCTTACTTCTTTTTGTTCTAGAACTTTCAGGTGTGTTGTTAAGTTGCTAGTATGACATCTCTTCAATTTTTTATGTAGGCACTTAGTGCTATGAACTTTCTTCTTGGCGTCACTTTCACTGTGTCCCATAAGTTTGGGTATGTTGTGTAT